ATCTATCTATCTATCTATCTATCTATCTATCTATCTATCTATCTATCTATCTATCTATCTATCTATCTATCTATCTATCTATCTATCTATCTATCTATCTATCTATCTATCTATCTATTTATTTTTATTTATTTATTTATTTATTTATTGCATCTATATATGGCCCCATTAATGCATAGTGCTATTCTGGGTGGTTTCCAGCACAGTAATAAAATATCTAGGATACAAATTAAAATGTACTCATTGACTCAAATAGAACAAGATACAACCAATAATAGAAGAGGTGTATTCTCTAGGTGCAAAATATTATGGGAACAAACTATGTTTAGGTGTATGGCTGTGGAGGCAGAGGTTGGAAATCTGATTCCCGTTTGTGCCTCCCTGTGACAGGGGCTGCACTCATAAGGTCCCTTCTAGTCTGCAGTTTTAAGATGATGATGAATTAGAGATAGGCACAAATTTAAAAATGATTCACCACATTCATTCAGAAATCACTTTGTCAATGCTTATTCATACGAATCAATGCCCCAACAAATAGTGAATCAACGAATTTTTAACATTTTTTGATTTGTTGGTTAATTTGGCTATAAAATGGCCTGCATGGCACCTAGAGACATCAGGACTGCTGGGCAGATTCCTCTGGTTCTATGATCTTTCCGAGTTTCTTGGCAATTTGGTTTCAGATGTCTGGGTTATGCACCCCCCCCCAAAAAAATCCTCCCAGGCACCCAGGGACATCAACATCACAGAGAAGCTTCCCATGACTCTCTTCTACAATCCCTCCAAGTGTGGGTTTCCCCAAACCAGCTGCTAAAGGCCACTTTCCTGGAGGAACCACTTTGTGGGCATGTAACTTGGATGTATGAAACCCAATCTTCACCAAACATGGAGGGACTGTAGAGGAGAGGCAGCAGAAGCTTCTCTGTGATTTTGGTGTCTTTAGGTGTCTGGGGGAGCTTTCTTGCTGGGGGGGAAGGCTCCTCATGGGTGTATAACCCAAAAGTCCAAAATCCTAACTTCACTGAACTTGGAGAGATTGTGGAGGAGAGTCAGTGGTTCCCTCCAATTTTGGTGTCTCTTAAGTGCCTTGCAGGCCATTTTATAGGATATTGAATTAAAAATAAATAGATTGATGAATCAGTTCATTGATTCATCAGAAAAAAATTGGGGGGGAAGGCTCCTCATGGGTGTATAACCCAAAAGTCCAAAATCCTAACTTCACTGAACTTGGAGAGATTGTGGAGGAGAGTCAGTGGTTCCCTCCAATTTTGGTGTCTCTTAAGTGCCTTGCAGGCCATTTTATAGGATATTGAATTAAAAATAAATAGATTGATGAATCAGTTCATTGATTCATCAGAAAAAAATTATAAATTCCTAATTCATGGTTCGTTAACCTGGATGAATCATGAATGAAAATGAATCACCATTTTTCTGATTTGTGCCTATCTCTAATTATGGTAGTGAAGGCTGCAACAAGAGTATTGATTGGGATATAATGGAAGTTATTATTAGAGGATGAAGTATTAGATAATCATATGGCTTTAAAAGACAAAAAGAAAAAGATAAATATAGAGTTTGCCCTAAAATAGTTTTTTTAAATCAATATTGTATAAGGAGCAAAAGAGTTGGATAATGAAAGAATTAAGGTCAACTATATTAACAGTAGCAGTGGTAGAAAAAAGTCTGGAGTATAACTATTCACAATAAGTGAATGAGAAATATTAAATTGAAGAAGGGTGTGATAAATAAGAATATTTTATTGTAATCGGGGAAGAATTTGTCTAATTCGTGTTAATAAAGAGGAAGGCTTGTGTGCTTTGCAAGAATCAATGTAGCTTTGGAAGAGGAATGGGACTCCATAATTGGAGGAAAAATTGGTTATATCTCCAGATGGACCCAATGGGGGGGAGCACATTATGTGGTTTAGTGTTTTAAAAGCTTTCTGTAGTTACGTTTCTTTATAGTTATCATTATTTTTTAAATTTTTAGTTAAATAAATTTAAAAAACAAAAGGAAAACTTGTTTAGTCGTTAAGTCGTGTCCAACTCTTTGTGACCCCATGGACCAGAGCACGCCAGGCCCTCCTGTCTTCCACTGCCTCCAGGAGTTGTGTCATATTCATGTTGGTAGCTTTGGTGACACTTTCCAACCATCTCGTCCTCTGTCGTCCCCTTCTCCTCTTGCCTTCACACTTTCCCAACATTAGGGTCTTTTCCAGGGAGTCTTCTCTTCTCATGAGATGGTCAAAGTATTGGAGCCTCAGCTTCAGGATCTGTCCCTCCAGTGAGCACTCAGGGTTGACTTCTTTCAAAATGGATAGCTTTGTTCTCTTTGCAGTGCAGGGCCTCTCACTTCTGTATATCGCTACTGGAAAAACCATAGCTATGCGGACCTTTGTCGGCAAGGTGATGTCTCTGCTTTTTAAGATGCTGTCTAGGTTTGTCATCGCTTTCCTCCCAAGAAGCAGGCATCTTTTAATTTCGTGGCTGCTGTCTCCATCTGCAGTGATCAGGGAGCCCAAGAAAGCGAAATCTGTCACCACCTCCATATCTTCCCCTTCTAAAGAAAAACAAAAAGAAACCTAGCACTGAATATAACCTGAAAATATGATGTCCTGAAAAATAAGAGAAAAACAATACAATTTTTAATGATGTGGTGACCTGTGCTTTTACTAGACATTGGGGTGCTTCCCAGAGAGGCACATATTTTGGCTGGATGTTGAGAATCAAAGTCACTTTGTGGTGGTTGTACTACAATGTTAGATTTTAGACATCCTTGCATGTAATCTAATTCTACCCCACTGCCCTGAAACAAAACACTCTGCAGTTGACCCCACTATATTCAATGACACATCGAGATTGACAGATTACAATTTTCAACTCTGAGATTTTATGCTGGGGGGGGGGACTCCTGCTTTTTTATAAATGCTGGCCTTCTTTTCTCACTCTAAAAATTCCTGTGGGAATGTATTCGCGAAGGCTTTGACAGCCAGGATCTAATGGTTGTTGTGGGTTTTTTCAGGCTCTTTGGCCATGTTCTGAAGGTTGTTCTTCCCAACATTTCACCAGTCTCTGTGGCTGGCATCTTCAGAGGACTGGAGTAGCTACGAAATGTTAGGAAGAACAACCTTCAGAACACTACCAAAGAGCCCGAAAAACCCACATCAACCATACTGTGTGGATGTTTTATTTTTGCCATATGGAGCAAGCTGCCATGTTTCCCGTCACAAAAATCAAAACCTCTGTATCCTAGAGACATCTATTACCAGGAGAACTGCATCTTCCATGCAACCTGAAACCAGGTTTTTACTGAGTCACCCAAAGTGCTCAATATTTCGGAATATTCTTCAAAATGGAATAGCATTTGATCTTTGCTTAAGAAACTATCCTTCTTGAATTGTGCTTCATATTTCTAGAAAGACCTGATCCTGTACAGTATGTCTTTGGTATCTCAACTTCTGAGTTTTCTGTCACCGTTAAAATGTAAAGTTACGATGGGTTTGTTTTTCTTTCCAAGGCTATTGGACGACCACATCTCCCTCCCTATTGGTCTCTGGGGTACCAGCTCTCACGATGGGGATATTCTAACATTGATGTATTAAAGCAAACTGTTGAACGCATGGAGCAGTACAGCATCCCATATGTAAGTGTGAAAATAACTGATAGGAATAAGTAGCTATGCTCACACTAGCATTCAGGCTACTGTTAATTCAGATTGATATAGTATTAATGGTATAATAGTAATTAATAGGATGATTATCTAGCATTAGTATAATTAATAGTATTGATATTAATTATTTAAGATTTATAATATTAAAACAGAAATAGTGGTTTTCAGAAAAATATGTGTGTTCTAAAACAATTCTTTAAGAAACTAGAGTGTGCCTGGGAAATTTCAGAGTAGGAATCAAGCCTTCACCCCATGTTGATGGTCTCCAAGAACCTCAGAATTTTCAGGGTCAAATTTTGGTGGCATCTCATCCTGTGGCATGAGGAAAAGCCTCATTGAAAGTAGGTATTTAGGGAGAAACTGAGAGTCCATGTAAATGGCTTCCTACAGTTCACTACCAAAATTTTGCAGGCAAATAAGGAACACTCAAATTAAAGCAAGCATAAGGTTTACTTGAAATGGCTTTTGGTGGTTTGTCACCAACGTTGGTGGTAGTCCATGGGATTACATTAAACATGTAAAATGCTTGCTTTGGATATTTTTCCTTATTGTTTTTTGGGGGGGAGGTGTAGGCCATTCCCAGAATGTCCCAAGTGGATAAAATTGATCCTCAGACCTGACAAAGTTGCCCACCCTTCGTCCCTAGGAGGAATAATGTTGGGCAACTCCTACATCAGCTTTTATTATAATAATAGTGTTAGCAAAATAGTCAATATGAATGGTTGAACTTTGCCATCTTTAAAAAAAAAACAACACACAAAACCTCAACAGTCTGTCTCTGTTGCATTCATCAGGATGTCCAGTATGGAGACATTGATTACATGGACCACCAGCTCGACTTCACTTATGACAAAGAAAACTATGCAGGCCTGCCAGAGTTCATTCAAGAATTGAAGAATGATGGATTGCACTATGTTATTATTCTGGTAAATTAGCAACACAACCTTACTAATTGACTTTACATTACCTTTTTAATATAGATGGTTTGCTATTAATTTTGAACAACTGACGCAACGGTTCTCCCCCTTATTTTTGTTTATAAAAGGGTGCCACCTTAGACTGAAAACTTTTTAAAATCACAGTTCTATTTCCAGCTTGCTCTTTCCAAGATTTTTTGGAAGGGAGGGGACAGGGGAGAGGGAGAGAGAAGGAGGTTAAGGGAAAAGGGATCAAGAAAAATGCTACATTATGTATTTCTGAAAACAGTCAATGGGATGGTTGTTGTGGGTTTTTCGGGCTGTTTGGCTGTGTTCTGAAGGTTGTTCTTCCTAACGTTTCGCCAGTCTCTGTGGCCGGCA